ATCCTCACATTTCTACTTTTCTATTTATTTATCTTAATTCTCTATCACTTCACTTGTAAGGAACCAAACAAATGAAAAATAATTTTCAAGTGTACGTGGTTTTCCTTAAAAAAAGTTTTATATGAAAACCAATTATTTATTGAAAATGTTTTACATCAAACCAAACGAGACCTAGATGTGGCAATGCGCCGAAGTCATAGATTGTAGAGGCAAAAGTATTTAGAATTAAAATACATGGCCTTGTTCCATCCGATGCTAGAAGATTAACAGCTTCCACTACTCCTAAAATTTCCTTCTCTTTGATGTGTCGTTTAGGATAATTAATATCACTTTTCAATACCTTTTTCTAGTGTGTCCCCCCCGAACAAGCAGTTCACCTTTCTTCTCCACCTTTGCGGTTCAACATTGAGCTTCTTCCTCATGGATAGCACCACAAGTAACCTAAACTAAGGGCAGTCTAGTTCTTATAAGCAGTTCAGTTCTCATGGTTCCATATATAGGATTAAATAACGCCATTTAGAAACTGAAACAATCTTTGCTCTGTTGGTTTAAAGCTTCAACAAAGGCACTAATCTATATAAATGGCGTTATAGAAATGATAGGTGGAAGGTGGATTAAGTTGTCAATTTTAACCGAGACTCTCAAAATTGTGCACGTAATACTCACTTTCAATGATATCCTTCTACTTCAGTTCATACAGATCCTTTATTCAACTTTTATTCCTTAATTTATTAGTCAATGTGTGTAATTTAATTTCAGATGTCCTTAACACTATCACAAACAACACTAATTCCTTGATAGATCGATCCTAGTTTACCGGATTCTCCTCATCTCTCTAAATCAGTTCAGTGAACAAAATCAAGTTTACGCTCCAACCCTAGAGTTATTTCCATAGATCTTCTTTATGTTCAATTGCATGTCATGCTAGCAATCAACTTCTCATCGTGGTTTAGAAATAGTGGACCATCTAAAGGATGAAAGTACGTATAGTGGATTTTGGGTATCATCAATAGATAAAGTTCCATCTTTAAGCATATTCATATATCAATTTTAATTTTTAACCAAATATTTTCCCTTTAGAGTTTGATTTGTACAGTTATGCATTTTTCATATAAATTTCTAAGTCCTATAGCTCTGATACCATGAAGAACAATGTAATAACTTGAAAAATAATGTAACAACTCAAAATATAATTTTAATCTTTTGAGAGAATTTGCGACGCAGCAACATATACTTCTTATTATGAAATGAATTTAGGTAGTTCTATATTTGCATTCAGTGGTGCTAATTATATGTAGAAATAGTATCACTAATAGACAATGGTATTATATAAGCTTTTAGTGGCATATTAAAAGTGGTCCCATTTATCTATCTCTCTCCTCCTTTTTCTCTTTTCTATGAGAAAAATTGAGAAAGTTACAATTAGCAGAGCAAGTTGGTAATATCACAAATAAAAGATCAACAATATATTTAGAAAATGAAGCAAGTCAAGAGAGGCTAATTTGATTACATGATTTTTCAAGATTAAAAAGTAGTATTAGATTTAATAAGTGTAAGTAGTTTAGAAAAAGATTGAGTGGAGTAGAAAACTCAAGTGATGTTGTAGTATCTAGAAATGTCTTATAAAATATATAAGATGAGTGATGTAGAAATATCTCTAATATTAGACAAGTGTTAAAAAAAATAATAATAAAAAAAAATAGAAAACAATAGTTATAAATAGGTTGCATGTGCATGGATTAGAAGGTGAGAGAATGAAGAGAACTCCACCAATGGGTGATAGGAACTGAGTGTTCTATCAAGAGAGTGAGAGACACGGTCTCTCCCAAATTTGTACAATTTATGATGAAATTTATGAAATATATATAATATTCGGTTTTATCAAACTTTCGCGTGTGTCCAATTCAATTCTATCATAATGGAATAAAAGAGGGCTTATTCAAATGAGCAAATGTGTTATTTGATTTTGTCTTCCTTTTTGTTTGTAAGGTCCAGTTCATATTGTTGTAGTTTTTGGTATTTTAGCTTTTTGTTTAATAAAGTCTGGTGTAATAGAGCTTGTAATGTATGATTTTGATATGAATCAATTAGCTTATATTGCTAGTTTGCTATGTACTCCTTATATTGTGGTTTTCTTGATCTAATTGTTATGCATAAAAATAGCTTTGCAGCGTGGCAAAACGATTTACCCAATGACGAAAGATATTCTTTTATGTACTCACTGTGGTTTGCTTATGCTTTGTGGACACGGTTGGGTTTGCAAGCAGTGCACGACTTTTCAGCTCTGTGGCAAGTAAGATCCTGTTTGTGCAATTTTTAGATTTTGGTACTTTGTGTAACATTTTCTGTTATTTTGGTTGGATATTATTTGCTATTATTGAAATTGAGTTTTGTAGATGTCTTGAAGTGGAGCTTTATTGCAAAATTTGTACTAAAAATTAGTTCTTATAGTTTTATAGACTCTAAATATGTCAAAAATTCTGAGCAATTAAATATGCACAAACGCGCTAGTTCCTCATATTATGACTTTTTTATGCAAGGATTGAACCTATGACATGTTCAAGTGTTTCATTTTGGTTGTGCTATCTTAATCTCTATGCTTGATAATGTAGGTCAGTTGGTATATAGAACTTTACATGATTAATCATGATTGCTCTTTGAATTCGGCAATATGTGATTTGATTACAGGTGCTATGAAGTCGAACAAAAACAAGACAAGGAAGAAAGACATCCTTCCAACCAGAAAGACAAGCATGCACTTTATCCAGTAAGTTATTGAGCTTATGCCGTGTGGTTGAGGTCTTTCAGAAGGACTAACTACAATAAATTTACGAATTTTATTTATGTCCTCTTGCTAAGTATTTAGTATGTCTTAATGGTCTAGGTCGAGGTCAATTACGTGCCAAATGACACCAGCGACAAAGATGTGATTACTGAGAGTGAAGATTCTGCCCCAGCTGCTGTGACAACATGCAACATATGTCATCTAGATATTGCTATTGATCAAGTTTGGCGTTGTGTAACATGTCCTGATTATGATGTATGCAATGCTTGTTTCCAAAGTGTTGAAAGCATCAATCATCCTCACAAGTTGACTAATCAGCCTTCTATGGCTCATTGTGATGCTCATAATCAGGAAGCTAGACGCCGTGTTATGCAGGTATTAGCATTTCACACACACTTGTGGAATTTAAGATGAATATAATTTTTCTTACAGGAAGTTGTATTGAAGAAAAAAAAAGTTACTTTTTTAAGTATTGTTTTATAGATTTCTCTGTTCTTTCTGTGAGCATGCTACATAGTATCCTTTATTCATCAATCTTCGGACTTTGGATCCTACATAGGTTTTTGAGTTCTTTACATGATTTTCTCTTATCCCGAATCATAGTATAGTTTCTAGTCACCATTTTCAGTGTTGTACTAATTTGATAATTTTTTTCTAAGTTGCAGTTTAATGTAATGCTTGATTTGCTGGTGCATGCAACAAAATGTTATGCACCAGATCGTCAGTGTGAGTATCCCAATTGCTTGAAGATGAAGGGTATGTTACGCCATGCGAGTCAGTGTAGTACTCGTGCAGAAGGGGGCTGTGTTCATTGCAGGAAGGTGTGGTGTCTGTTACGACTTCATTCTCAATTTTGTAATGATTTTGAATGTCATGTGCCTCGATGCGGGTTTGTAGTTCTCCCTTTGTTCCTGCAATTAATTCTTTTTACCCCATGTCTCAAGCTATTTTTGATCCCAGGAACATGTTTCTAAGCTGTTTTGGTTCTGTTTTTCCAGAGATTTGAAAGAGCGTTTCAGTTCCCTCAAATCGCAAGACTTGTGCATCTGATTTCAGTCGTCGTGGCTTTGATGACAGCTTCTTCTTTGGATCCCAGTGCTTTTGACTATGTTGTTGGTCTCCCTTGGTAGAGATTCAGTCTGGAAACCCTTGGTGGCCCTTTCTTTCTGTCTCTCTCCTTTCTTCAATGGCTTAGTCTGTATTATATATAGCAGATACCTGTTACAACTGCTGCTAGTCATACTTTATTTGTCGGATTTAAAAATTTGTTGTCTTTGGATGTTTGATGTAGACTATGTTTGGGGTCCATTCGTAAAGAATGTCTGTGAGTAAACCTATTGCTGAATAACAGTCTTGTTGGAGATTTCCATCGCCAACACCCACCAGTTACCGGTAATTTCAAAGCTTGATCATGACATACATTAGGTTCCTTGTATCATGGTTTGTTGGCTGACATACTTCATTTCTGTTTTATTTTCGGCTTAGGTGAATCATATATATTAGCATGCTCCTCGCTCCCTCTTACAAACCTGATAGTTTGCAAAACAAGATCTTTTACTTTGACATGAAAATATAATTTACAAGCAGACTTGAAAATTTATCTGAACTTTTAGTAGCTACAATCGTTTTATAACCAACTTTCACAGTACAAGCTCATCCTGTCATCCAAAAGGTATCAGACAATAAAGATATAACCTGTCAAGGAGTCTGAAGTAGAAACTGCCCTATTTATGGGATTTATGCCTTGAGATTACTTCTATTCTTTTTCATTTTCGGAAACTATATTCTTGAACCATAATCAGTGAATAAAAAAAAAACCATAGTAATGGTTTCAGGTTACTTGTGATGCAGGATTTGGTAACATTATGATGCTTTGCAGAGAAAACAGATTTTATTGTGTCAGTAAGCAAACATTGGGTTATAGTGTTATTCAGATATGTTAATGAATAAACAGATTTGTTGATGCACCTATTAAAACAGAGTTTATTGTGTCAAGCTACTAATGTATCAGCATGTTTCCGATTTGTCATGTTAGACCTCTAGTTCGGATCCTGGTTTATATTGAACACACATCTGCATTTAAGCATTGGTATTGTCGCGTTGAAGCTGTAGGACACCCGAGGCCAGAGGACATAATAGTATAATACAACTGCTAAGAAGAACATTGAACATAAGTACATTTTAAGCTAAAATATTATTGATAGAATCAGCTAGTAAAGAACTTAGGTGACATTGAACATAAGTACATTCTAACTTACTCTTAGCAGATACTGCGAGAATCATACCTCTCTTTCAGTCAGCATAACCATCTCCAACAAAACAACATTCTCTGAAACCAAAGCTGTTGTTGGAGACTCTGATGGGAGCGAATTGAAGGGAGTAACTAATAATATTTACATCTCTTGAAATATTGTTACATTGAAATAGGCTATGCCATATTATTAGGGATGGTTAAAAGGTTAACGTGTACTCAATTCAATCGTTGTACATAATCTTAGTGTTCTAATAGTCTAATAGCTTGTTTTTTTATTCGTGCGCTGCAACTATTCCCTTCACTTGATACAAACCCCCAATAAGATGTAATAAACCAGTGTAATTGGTAACGATATTAACATTCCAAAGCTAACCCTGCATCCAAAATTAAAAGCATGTTTAATAATGACAAATGACCAAGTAGTACGCTGTACGTACATCAAATAAGCTAGCAATATGTATTATTTTGAGCAAGATTTTGAGTTTAGTAGGAGCATACGCTGTGCTAAGTACACAAGGATGAACATTGTATTCTTGAGCAAAGACAAAAGAGACAATAGCCTGTGGTAGAGCTGCCTAAAATAAAAAGTAAGATTTACAGCACATTGGTTAGTACATTTGTGATTTATTTGTTTGGTTTTGGTTAATATGATGATAATATTGTTTTTCATGAATTTTATTTTATACCTGCATAATGATAATTTGTAAGAGAGTTCCTCTTAATCCAATAACAGACGAAGTAGCCGCCGTGATAGCGGGGCCCACAATGAACCTCATGGCTGCAGCTAAGGCAGCTAATGCACTCCCACCAGAAATTATCTTAGGTTGTGAAGCCATGAATAAGCCTATCAATTTTGACAACAATCAAGCTAATTAGCAATAACCCAATAAGGACATGTTTACATTAGATTCCACAACTAAACTTTATTTCGGTGCGAATGAGCCACAAGGACATTACAAATTACAATTGAAAGGGGATTTGAACCTTAGATTTGACCTATCATACATACATGCCCTTGGTCTTTGACAATAGACCAATAAGATCTCATTGGACAATTAAACTGCTAAATAATTGGAGGGAGTAGTTTTGGCATGAGAATGACACTTTTGTCTTATATGTTACATTTATTCACAATATAAACATGATACTATACTTAATTAGCTTGCAAAGCTCTCTAGTTATCTACTATAAACATGCATACATACTTTCATTAATGGGGCTAAAAAGCTCATTTCTATCATACCGAGCTATTGCAGCTATTGCTAATAAGCTAAGACTTGTACTCAATGACAATGAGATTTATGCATATACAAAATACAATATAACTCAAAGCTAAATAAAATAAAAATTCTTACCAAGACTAAACATTGCCATCCCAAGTCCTGTATCAGAGAAAATTTTAATTGAATTGGCCACCATTGCAGGGATTTCAACATGCCACCTTCAATATTTAGTAAAAACTGAATTAATAATCAAATAAGATTTTAAAGAGATCATTACACATAATATATATACTAATAAGATGTTAGTATATAATATCTTATAATTATGCACAAAAATAAAGGTTAGAGAGATTACTAAAGAGTATTATGTGTTGAATGTCAATTACCTAAACGAGATCAAGGACCAAGTTAAGGCAAAAAGACTAGAGTAGAAGTTAGGGTTCCTCATGAGTTTCTTAGAGACCATGATCAAAATCTGCCTGGTTGTCATTACATTTCCGGCTGCAGGGACAGGAAGTGTGTTTGTCAACTTGGGTTTACATTCAACGATATCTTCTACATGGACTTCGACCTTCGATGTCGAGCTCGGTAGTTCTGTCAATGTCAAGGAGTATACATTAAGTAAGTCTCATATCAGATCGTCAGAGTAAATATGACTTTAAAATTATTTCTTAACACGGAAAAAATTGGGACATATACATTTATTTAATTTTTATTTATTATTTATTTTTATTTTTTTTTGGAGAGAAGGGCCTTTTTGTAACATCACGTGATGACCAACGCCGAATTCCGGCGATTAACTCCCAATATCCCACTGGTGGAGCCAGGTGGGGACAAGGGGAAACAGTTGTACTCTTTTTTTTGGGGAAATAGTACGTTGTATAATTTTTTATTTTTTTTTATTTTTATTTTTTTTATGGCTATTTCACCAAATGTCATTGATTACTTAAAAGATTCACCAAATGCCATTAAATTTTTCATAATTCACCAAATGTCACTGACAAACAATATAATGACACCTCATGCCACTAAAAGCATATGAACGTTAGTTTTTCGTTAATGCAATTCTTATTTCAACATATGTCATTACTTTGGAAAATTATTTCACCAAATGTCATTACTTTTAAAAATTAATACACAATAATTATTTATTTTAATAAATAAAAATAATACTTTTTCGATTTTCGTGACGAATATTGTTCGGGTAAGGTTTTGGGGGTCATTTTGACACTTTATGGGTACAAATTAAACTCAAAATTGGAAAAAAAAAAACATAAATACCCCATTTCGCCTTTTTTCCAAAAAAAAATTATGATATCGACAGTCAAAATGGGGCATATATGTTTTTAGTCAATTCCGAGCTTAATTTGTTCCCATAAAGAATCAAAATAACCCCCAAAACCTTACCCGATAAATTTTGATGGTTAAAAAATAACGATACACTAATCGAAATATTTTTCAACACACAAATCGGAGCATTTATGTTTTTTTTTTTGTCAATTCTGAGCTTAATTTGTATCAAAAAAAGGGTCAATATGACCCCCCAAAACCTTACCCTATCAATTGATAGTTAAAAAATAATGACACGCGAATCGAAATATTTTTCTACACAAAAAACGGAGCATTTACATTTTTTTTTTGTCAATTTCGAGTTTAATTTGTCTCCATAAAGATTCAAAATGACCCCCAAAACTATACCCAATCAATTTTTGCCACAAAAATGAAGAAAAAAATATTTTTTTTTTTTATTAATGAAAATAAATAATTGAAATGAACCAATCATATTATGACAGGTCTCAAGATTTAATCTTAATGAATAACGGAGTTAACGGCCGTTAGTCATTAATGGCATTTGGTGAATTTTTCAAAAGCTCGATGGCATTAGGTGAATTTTGAAAACCTTTATAGCATTTGGTGAATTTTTTAAATACTCAGTGGCATTTGGTGAAATAACCGTTTTTCTTTTTATAAATATATAGTTATAAAAGATGTGCTACAATTATAAAGAATTAAAGGTGGTTTAGTGGTTATAGTGTTTATAACTATTTTTTGAGGTCATAAGTTCTGGCTCTGCCGCTGCATATTCCTATTATATGGTCACTTCTCATAATCAAAACCGCTTTAAAGGCCATTTCTCACAAATAACTGAATATAAAAGGTCATTTCTGACAAATTTTTCAACAAATAAAAAACTTCATCAAAAAGTTGAAAGCAAACCTTTAGGGCAAGAATTCTCTTCATCATCATGATCACTAATCTTGGTTGATGACCTAGAAGAAAGAACACAAATATCTAACTCTCTTTCCTCATCAAACTCCAAACTCGCATCACTAATTTTCTTAGAACATTCAAGCGAAGATGAGCTACGATCAGTACTCATTTCAGTCCCTTGCTCATCAGAAACGATGACTATTGTTGCTCTTCTATATTCAAACAAGAGCAACATAATAGGAAACCATACATTAAACTGTATAACAGAAAGTTGCACCATCAAAGACTGCGAAAGGTCTTGGCCATACATTCCTCCTAACAAAGGAATGCCCACGACAACCGTGTTGGGAAGACACGAAAGTGAAAAGAGGGTGATACACCATTCAAGAGACCCTCTTGAACTCAGCTTACACCATATAAACAATATCACAATGACTATAAGTTTTTGCAATGTGTCTGCCGCGATGAAGCGGAAGTTCATTGCGTAAGGGTTGTTATTTGAGATAAATTTGATGGATAGAAGTGGGACTGCAAATAATGCAACAAATCTGTTGATTCCTGAGATTTCATTTGGTGAAAATATTTTCCACCATTTTACTGATACATAAGCTGAAATCATTACTACATAAAGAGGTACTATATTTGATAGTACATTGTATCATCTCATTTTTTTTGTGTGAGAAAAATAATGTAAGATGAAAAAATTAATTAGTTGTATAAATAAAATGGGTAAAGAAGGCAAGAAAAGGTTTAATAAGGGGTTTTAGTGAATAACAAAATTAAAACATAAATAATGTTAGATTTATATAGGAAAAATTATTGCCTGAAAACAGCTGCATGCTATTGTCTTGTGTTTTTTTTTTTCAAATACCAGGTGGAGTTGAGGAAGGATCTACGAAATGATGGAATGTACAAAAGTAGCAAATGCGTTGACTGTAGGATGCAAGTCAAAGGTACATTGCTAGCTCAAGAGTGGACTTATAGGTCAAAAACTTGAGGTTGTCTAGGACACTAATGTATAGAGTCACTAGGACTCTAATAATTCGGAGTTGATGTTATATTGTGTTTAGATAGTACATATATATACCATAACAAATCATAATAATACCAATAAAACATTTTTACATTTATTGGTACTACTGAATACATACTTACTTTGGTATTTCGTTGATACCATCTATATACAATATAATACCAACATCGTGTTATTAGAGTCATAGTGAACACACATATTAGTGGCGTATACTTTTCCCAAGATCTTTGATACTAATCTAAATTCATATTGGATGCACTGTTATTATTTTTTTATTTTTAGCTTTAATGTGGAGTGAACGATCCCTTAGTTGAACGGCTTTGAATAATTGACAATAACCCATGTCACATTGGTACTTTCAATTAAAGGTAAAGGTATCAAAAACGGACTCAATTGACCCAATTAAATGAAAATGATTCAGATTTTGAGCCACAACAATTTAGCATAGCTCAGCTAATATGGTTAAAATCGGAATTGGTTTATATACTCTATGTCACACCCTCACGTGAGGGTTTGTTGGACTTGAAGTATAGATGTAATACATTATAGGCCCCACCATACCTAGTGGTAATATTCAACTTTGAAATAAGAGGTGAAGGAGATTTGAAATTTAGTGAAAATTTTATTATGAATAGTCACATTAATCTCATTTCAAAATTTTACAATTGGATGGTGAATTAAAAAAGAACGGAGGAAGTAAATGGGGTTAAAGGGAAGTAGCATACCATTTTAAGAAAAGGAGCATTGGGTTAACTTAAAGTCAAACACATTACCCAACCACCCACCCAAACTCAATACAGCCCATCAAAAAGACTGATAGACAAATTGCAGCCCATGGTTATTGGTAAATATAGTTTCTCTTTTTTGCTAATTAGTAATTGTAAATTGATCATAAGCATATTAGAACCTCAAAAGTGTACTTGTATTATCTTTACAAGTAATTATTAGACACTAGAATGAGACTTGAGTGTGCACCAACCTCCCACTCAATTTTGTCGAATTTTCCCCACTTACTTGCTTTGTTTGACAGTTAAAAAAAATTCCAATTTGCAGCCAAATTGCATTAATATTGCTGCATGCTGCCTTTTTAGCTTCCTAGTCTCAACTCTCAAGTTGTGTCATGCTTTGCATGTTCACCCATTATACTGTACAAGAGATTGTCATATTATGTGCTTCATCTATTATATTACTCCATTCGTTATTGTTGATGTAAAAATGCATAATAATACTCTTTTATAAGGTATGAATACCTTATGGGTGTAAAAATGCATAATAATACTCTTTTATAAGGTAATAATACCTAATATTTGAGTTTAAGACCTTGATAGTATATGAGTAATGATGATTCTAATGTAGTCAAAAGTCATAAGACTATATTTTATTGAATATATAAATGGATGGTTGAGATTACTTATTTTATTTTTTAATTAGTTTTTGATTAAAAATAATTTTTTAAGATAATTTTTTTTTTTATTTTTTTGAAATTCTGAAAATAAAAAAATATATTAAAAAGATTTTAAATCTAAATACAATTACAATAGAATTTTTAATACGTATGTACTCCCTTTATTTTAAATACTTGCTCCATTTTCCTTTTGCAACCGTTTTTAAAGCCTTGCTCCAATTCCTTATTTGAAGAGTTTTTATAATATTTAATTCATTTCTCTCAGTTAGTAGGACCCAATTTTATTACTTTTAGATTCTATTTCCTCCAATTTACCTTCCAGTAACCCCATTATTTTTATATTTTATTACTTAATGTAATTTTTACTAAAATTCCGCGCATAAAGAAATAAAGCAAGTATTTAAAAATGAAGAGAGTACACTTTTAAAAATTACGATAGTTAAAAGTCATAAAATTACATTAGAATTTTCAATACGTGTAATATATGATTGTCAAAACAACAATGAAGTTAAAAACAAATTACTTGACCATTATATAAGAACACCTTACAAGTTAGGAATTTTGCATCATAAAACATGCTAACTATTGCGTTCTGAAAAAGAGAGAAAGCTTACCTCCATGGTTTAAACATAATAGGAAATTTGCTACTTGCTCCGACAATATTCATAGCATGCTATTACTATTGTTAACCGCTAAGATCTACTTAATTATATCTGGGCTACTAGTTACGCCTAAAGTGCTAATTAAGGGGACTAGGAAAGCTTAAAATATTGTAAAGTGCAGATGTTTAATTGTATTATATCTTTCGTTGGTAATAGACTGACTTCATTCAGTTTTTCTTCTTTGACATCAAACATCACCTAATTATTTGGTTAATTGAAAATTCAACTTTTAATTAGTGCTAGATTGGATACAGTTTGGACCGTGTGACTTAATATTGAGCCCATTTATTTCAGGACCATGTACAATTTGGGCTAGTTACCTTGTAGCCAACGAAAATTACAAGAAGGGTCTAACACTTATCCGGTTATTCCCTCCGTTTCAATTGGATATTTGGATAGTCAAGGTCAGAATAGTACACACTAGTTTTATCTTTTTATTTATTAAGGCATGTTAGATTGGGGGTAATATATTAAGGGAGTAATAAAAGTCAAATTTGAAAAAACATAAGTACTTAAAAATTTTGTTATAGAAGACAAAGTGTTTACAATTAAAATAAGATAGTTGTGACATGAGGAAATGAGAAAGATGGAAGAAATATTATCCTCATAATGAGGGTAATAGTTACCCACCATCCCCCTAGTGTAACTATTACCCCAAAATGAGGGTATTAGTTTCTCTTTCTTCACCTCATACCACACCATTACTATACAATTTTCCTTACAATCACATCATCACTATCTCCTTCTTTCCTATATTCACTTTCATTTTGCTTAATTTGATTTTTATTACTCTAGTAATACATTTCCTTCAACCCAAGCATGCCCTAAAAGTGAGAAGATCAGCGGAACTGTTCCTTATAAACAGTAGGACAGTGCTTGGACGCAGTGGCGGATCCAGGATTTCCAAGTAGGGGTAGCGCGTAGTTGTTTAAGAAAATTTAAATTAAAACCGGACTTTATTTTAGGGATTCATATTTAAAAAATTCCCACAAAATCGATTAGCAAAATAATAAATCGAGTGGTTTTATTGATGCAATGCAATGTGTTAGTACATTGTTGTGCTACTTATTAATTGAAATTGTGATTTTACTAAGATTTTTTTTTTTTTTTTTTTTTACAATAGCAAAGGAGCAAAAACTAAGAAACATTCGACAAAGTAAGACGACATCTTCTAGCCATGTCGTTAGCCCGTTTTACCTGTTCTCTAGGGACCTTTAGAATCGCACACTTAAGAAAAGAGGCCCCCTACTTCCCTAATATCCTTAATTATCCAACAAATCGAAACATCCTTACCAAGGTTATCTTGCAGATTGTTCAACAGGGAAGTAGAATCAGAAAGCAGGAGGATACCCTGTTTTCCCTGAGTTTTAGCCCATTTCAAAGCTTCGAGACATGCCCAGCTTCACATTGAACCACTGATGATGCCGAACCACAATTTCCCCATTCTTCCAACATGCTTATCGACCCATTCCCAACCACTGCCCATCCCACCCAGGCCCTCGAAGTCTTTTTATCCCATGATCCATCAGCTTCCATAATGAAGTTGTCAAAGTCGTTCTTGTCTCTCCCCAACTGCACATGATTAAAACCTGGGGGAATGACTGGATCATTGCTCTTTAACTCCCTGTTAAGGTTGTATTGATTGCACTTATGGGTGAAGACCTCGTGGTCTTGCATTGCTTGGTTAATGAATTCCGCAACCAAACTAGCATTCCCGTTGGCATTCTTGAAGCACCTCGCATTTCTAGACTTCCATAGACCCTAAAGGGTTGCTATGAACAAAGCATTACGATTACTAAACTTACCATCCTCGCTATGAAAGAGCAGGATATAGCTCTGGATCCATTTCCTCAAAGAGCTGGAACCAGTTGAATCATGGCTAATAGAAAGTGGGGAGTTTCCCCAGACTTCCTTTGCCAGAGAACAATAACGGAAGAGGTGTTGGCTGTCTTCCGGATCCGAGCCACAGAAGTCACAAATTTCATCAACCTGTAAACATCTTCTTGCTAGGTTGACTTTGATAGCAATACTATCATGAAAGAGTCTCCAAAGGAAGAGTTTACATTTCGGTTGGATGTCTATTCTCCAAATCAGTTTTACGTACTCTTGGTCATTCGAAGAAAACGAGTCGGGATTTAACCCCGCATCCTTCAAAAGATAGTAGTATCCTGTTTTCACCGAGTATCTTCCTGAAGGGTGAAATTTCCAACAGATGAAGTCATCCTCCCCCCTCTGCGGGAGTTCCATAGCCAAGATAGCCTTTGCACTATTCCACTCAAAACACCTTCTTACCTTTCCTGCGTCCCACGATCCTTTGTTCCTATCAATGAAATACTCTACTTTCCAACCTAGAGCCGCTCCCAAAGTCTGATTAGCATTTACCATTGGAATATGACCTTCCACCCAAGGCATACTGATGGCCTTAACTTCTTTCCCATTACCAATTTTCCAAGAGAAACCATCCTTGAATAGACGGGAAACTCTTTGAAGACTTGATCTTCCTAAGGAAGGATTCCCCATTCTTGCATAAGGCCTAGCCATATTGCACACCCTACATG